AGAAGTTTGCATACTGGGGCACTTGGGTGGCTCAGTCCATTGGGTGTCTGTCTGCCTTTGGCTCAGGTCATGATCCTAGGGTGCTGGGACTGAGTCCCACATCAGGCTCCCTGCTCAGAGAGGAGTCTACTTCTCCCTTTCCCCCTGCCTCTCTGCACTACCACTCCCTGCTTGTTCTCTCTCTCTCAAATAAATAAAATCTTAAGGAAAAAAACCCCAAAAGGTCACATATTGTATAATTCCATTTATGTGAAATGTCCAGAATAAGCAAGTTCATAGAGAACGTAGATTAGGGGTTGCCAGGGGCTAGGAGGATTGGGGGTGGGGAGCGGCCACTGATGGGTACGAGTTTTTTCCTAGGGTGATGAAAATGTTTGGGAATTATTAGATAGTGGTGATGGTTAAGCAACTCTATGAATCATATCGAATCATCTGCTTTAGAAGGGTGAATTACATGGCGTGTGAATTACATCTAAACAACTCCAATTCTGTGCCAGTCTTAATAAATATTAATAAAGCTTCACTATGCCTACAATGGCCCCCACTGTCCTCCAAGATCTGGCCCCAAACGTCCAGTTTTATCCCTAACTCTGCCCCCTTTAAGGAAGTTCTACTCTCCCCTCCTCCTTGTCTTTGTTCCCACTGATTCCTGCTTCCCTTGCATCTCTCCACACCTGAATCCTACCCCCAGGGCTGCAAACCAGTGGAGCTGTATTCCATCTCCAGTTGAATCTAGCCTGCAGATGGGTTCACAGTGGGGGTTTGGGTGTTTGATCTTTTAACTGAATTAGTTACCAAGAGGAGATTTCACATGAATGTCAGTATTCTGGCTAAGGCAGACTCTGCGGGCTGCTGATTCAACGGCCACGGTCCTCTTCCTCCCTGTTAAGGGAACCCAGTCCACCTCAGTGGATGAACCATGTTATCCCACTTACCTCTGCAGGGACTGATCTGGGGTGGCTATTTGAGCAGTCAGAGCTCTGAGCCACAGGCAACAGAGGAAAGTCTAGCTGTTTGAACAGAAAACGGTTTATTATGTGTCGGAAGCCAACCGACCATCAAGTTAATGTAGCTTAAGTGCTGGGACCCTCCCTTGCACGGCCACCTGTGAATGTTCTAGGTTAGAAACGGAAGCCAAGCTACAATCAGTGGTCATTTCTACGTGAACGTTTCTGGAAAATACCTTAAAGATATCCAGGAGATGGGACCTGAACTTTCCAAGGTACAGTATTTGGTATGATTTCTCTACTCATTCTAAACAAATGTTCATTTTCATACTTAATTTTCCATATTAATGAACTGGATGATCCAGATGTTATAATTACAGACCAGGATTTTAGAGCAGCTGTTATAGCTATGCTCAAAGTGATAAATGAAAAGATACTCATACTGAATGAACAAATGAGAAATCCCAGTAGAGAAATAGAAACTGTAAAAAAAAAAAAATTATACAGAACTAACTGGAAATTCCAAAACCAAAAATTCAAATATTTGAAAGGAGGCTGGAAGAGTGAGTCTCCAGGATTCTACCTCAGAGGGGTAGGATCATGAAGCTAAAAATTCTTCAAACATAGCAGGGTGTTCAAGGGCACCACACAGTCAGAAAACATGGCAAGTGTCTAGCTCTAAAGTCTGTAACCGATTTCTGCCTAATGAGACAAAATGGAGTGTCCTGGTAAAAAGAGAGAAAAGTACGAGAAGGAGTGACCTCGTCTCCTCTACCCTTCTTTCTGCCTTGAACTGCTGTGTCAGGAAAACATGATGATACTTGGAGCTATGGCAGCCATTTTGCAACCTTGAGGAGTAGTAGTAGTGAGAAGGGAGACACAGAAGCTAAGCCAGAGCCCTGATACTGTAGATCTGCTAATATACCAAAAAACCCCCCCACCTCTGGATTTCCTGTCATGTGAGATAATAAACTTCTCTTAATTGGGTATTTAATTTTCTTAATTGTTGTTTATAGTAAAAGTACATCTTAACTAAAACACGGCTTCTCTTGAAAACAGAGATCTGGCAAGACCAGACTTACTAGCCTCTTAGACAGGGTAAGACCTTTCTAGTCATAGACTTGCTTGGTCCCCACAGGCCAATGAGTTTACAATCTCTGCCTTATACATCTCTGGAGAGATGAATCAATTGTCTTCTCTCCTACAAAGCCCTCCCTGTCTCCAGCCTCCCTGCACCCTCAACCCCACCTGGCTAGAAGTAATCTTCCTCTCCTTGGAATTCCCATAGTTTTGTGGCTGTGTCCGTCTCCTGTCGTAATTGTGCATTCCATCCCCTCTCACTTGGCCATCATCCTTCTGAGGGCGGGAACCACACCCTATTCATCCCTGAATCTCCCTCTGCCATCTAGCAAAATACCGAATACAGGACACACTCAATGCATCTTTCCTAAATAAGAAAAGTCCCTGCAGTGAAAAACGTCAGTGTTCTGAAATATCCGATTCTCCAAGCTCACCAAGGAGCTTTTAACCAGTGACTTGTGCTTCTTCTCAAACTAGGACAATAGTATCCACCTTACCCCAAAACTTCAGTGACCCCTGGACCTGAACTTTGTTCAGCCCTCAGCCCTGGTGACCCGGAGTACACGTGTAACAGTCCACTCTGAAGCCTCGGCCTGCCTCAGCAATCCCTTTACTTGGGAGGCATGCTGGGATACAGGTAATATTCTAAAACCTTCCCCATCCAGGAAAGGATGGAAATGTATACACATGCAAATCTCCGAAAGGCCAGGCAACCTGAAAACACATATAGCGATCATAGTCCCAATGGGAGGGAAGGCAGCTCAAGGCTCTGCCCCAGGGTGCTGTGTCCCACAGAGGATGGGGTCCTGCGGAGCACCTCAAGTTGCTAACAAATCCTGAGTAGCAGGACTTCCTTTTATATCAATCCTGGCTCTAACTTCACCTTGCACATGCTTCTTGAACTGGTGGCTGATTTTTAGTTCCAGCTTTTGCTAGACTCTCTGCTGGTACCTAGTTCTTGTCTCTAAACTTGTTTTTAATTTTGGTAAAAAAAAAATATAAAAAACCAAAAAACAAAAAAACACGTAACATAAAGTTTTCCATGTTAACCGTTTGGAAGTGTGCAGCTCAGTTGTGTTAAGTACACTCCCACTGTTGGGCGGCCACCTCCGCCGTCCATCTCCAGAACTATCTCATCCTCTGTACCCATTAAACACGAACTCTCCATCCATTCTACCCTTCTGCTCCTATGAATTTGACGCCCGTAGGTATTTCCGATAAGTGGAAAGTGTTTGTCCTTTTGTGTCTGGTTTGTTCATTTACCGTAAGGTCCTCAAAGGTCATCCACGTTGTAACATGTGTCAGAATTTCCTTTTTTTTTTTTTTTTTTTAGAATTTCCCTTCTTCTTAACACTAAATAGTATCCCACTGCATGTGTATGTCATGTTTTGTTTATTCACTCATCTTTCAGTGACATTTGGGTTACTTCCACCTTTTGGCTATCGTGACTAATGCTACTCCGAATGTGGGTGTACAAATATGTTTAAGTCCCTTCTTTCGGTTCGTTTGCAGACCTGGCCTTTGACTTTCCCCAAATCAGTCAAGATCCTGACCTTGGGGATGGAATTCTCTAGGCCAGTCTCTATTCCAGTGGGAGAGAAAGAGAAGCCTAGGCTGGGCTTGCAGGTGATGCGAGCCAGAGCTGAACGGGCTGGGAACTCGAGAGCAGGTTCCTGGCCCCTCCCGACAGAAGGCAGATAAGGGACAATGTGGCAAGAAGTAAAGAAGAGTGGGATGTCCCCTCTGCCCCTGCGGGAGGAGACACATACCACTGCAAAGAGGAGAAGAGCAAGACAAGGACGGCCTCTGTTCCCAAAAGGGCAGGCATGCCGCAGAGGAGGCCCTAGACGCTCAAGAAAGGGCAGCCCAGGCAGCAGGGGCAGAGGTTATGAAAAGGATGTGGATGCCAGGACTGGTGCTATTCAGAAGACCTCAGTTGCAAGGGTCCTGGCGTACAGATCGGGGGGTAAAGGGTGTGGGAGGGGGGAGCAGGAGGAGTCTGGAATGCTCTCATTTGACAGATGGGCCTCCGCTCAGCCAACTCCTGAAGTACAAGAGGCACAAAAGCAGAAATCTGAAGGGCTGGTTGGGGCAGGGCTGAGGGGGAGCTTGAGGGTGCATCACAGGTTTCTAACGCTGGCCTTCCGAGCTGCGTACGTACTTTTGCGTTTTAGTGGGAGTGTGGGCAGACTACAGCTGTGGGCAAAGGTGGGGTCTAGATGCCTGTGAATCCCTCTCCCCGTCTGCTGTAAGCACCTTTCTGCTGGCTACATGATATTTTTTGGTGCCAAAGTGTCTAGGTTCAGGTACCAAATGAGGACAGCCTAGGAAGGTGCCGCCACTAAAGGGAAAATTGATTGCTCTGTGGAGCTCTGAACTTCCTCAAGTATGACTTAAATCACCCCTTCGATGCCAGGACCAAGGTATAGACTCAAGGCTCTCATTTTCGCCCAGACCAAACTTAAGGGCTCCTCTGATATCCTAGGAGCCAAGGGGGACTGCCGGTGGGGGCACAGCTTTTAAGGCCCTTCCCCTTTGTGACTCCAGCTCAAGGAGCTTCCCTGAGTTGATGCAGATGTTCCTGAAATACCCCTCCCCCGCACCCCCCAGCTGCAAGCAAACTGGGACTCTCAGGAAGAACCCAGAGGCAAGCTGTCCCCTTAAATCCAGAAAACACAACTTCCAGACTGTTCTAGGATCCCAAGAGTCTGTGAGGTCAGCCTGGACTTGGCCACAGTGACATGGATCTGAAGCCAGATCAAGGTGCCAAGGAGCCTATTGGCTCAGCTTTTTACTAATGCCGGAGCCAGAGCCAAAGATGGCCTGATGTCTCCGTGTCGTGGTGACGCAAAGTCCCCACCAGCACCTCTCCTGCATGCTGGGCTCCACGGCTGCTGAGAGCTGTGTACTACGCAGGCTCTCGGGCTTGGGTTACTCAGCGCTCAAGTCTCCACCCTGCTCCCTAGTACTGACCAGACTGTTGGAAGAGCCCATCCACGCTGAGATCCCATAGGAGACTGAAGGCTCCCAAAGAAGTTTCTGGAGGCCATGTCAACAGCTAGGAGAAAAACAAAAAGAAAAATGCCATTTAGGTTAGCTGATATAATAGCAGTATGGTATAATGGTAGTAAACCTTTACTACTCTATATTAAATAAATTCCATTTAATCCTTACAAGTCCACGTGGTAGAAGGATCTTGCCATTACTGACATATTACAGGTGAGGAAATCACACTCAGAGGGCTCAAGCAGCTTCCTAGGGACACATAGCCAGTAAGGAGCAAAGCCAGGATTCAATCCCAGGCCTCTGTGACTTGAAATCTCCTACTCTGTCCACCTCCCTGTGTGAGAGTTTTCGTCTTTCTACCCCTCATGCCCTGTGGCCACAGCCATGGCCCTCCACAGCAGTTACCAGTGTGAGGAAGAGAAAGCAGGAAGTACACTCAGCTGGACAATGACAAGCCAGCTACTGTCCATGATCCTTACATCATTTCCAGGTCACTGCCTTAACTTATAATCATCTTAGGCCATGCTCTGGGAAGGAGTTGGTACTGAGTACCAACCCTCAAATAACCTGGTGTCGGGGGGCAGGTCACCAAACTGACTCATTGGGATCTGACTCATCTGAATGCTCCTTGAGTCTGAGGGTCATCAAGTGAGGATTTGGAATGTGGAGAGAACATGACGTGGAGATGAACAATGGGACAGCACCCCACCCCCAAAAGGCCATCCAGCCTGGGGACACACCAATGAGGCCAGGCCTTAGAGATGGGGCAGCGCCTTGGTGGCCCTGTTCCTGCCGTGGTCAGCCATGCTGCATATTATACCATCCTTCTGAGAGTGCAGAACAAAGCCCTGTGGGGGTCACTCTGGGCACATCCCCTCTTCAGGCCTGAACCTCTCATCTCCAGGGGCTTGGGTTGTTGCTTGATGAGAGCCCTGAGCCAAGTCCCTCTCTGGGCAATGGCCTTGCAGTAAGGGAGCCTCACTCGAAGTCATGCTCCCTTTCTAAGTGCAGCCTTAGTCTGCTATCTGGCCCCATTGGTACTGGAATCCAAAGGCCTGGACCCCTTGCCTCAAATGGAGCAACTCTAAAGTCGCCCCATTTCCAGAGCATTTGTAGAACTGGCTGTAGCCTATTGAATTTGCCCTGCCATTTGGCTTCCCCTTCTCCCAGCGGCTCTCCCTCTGCAGGAGGTGTGGCTTATGGGAACCCTCCCCAGGGAACCTCAGGGAAACCACATCTCAGAGTCATTGTCTCAAGGATCTGGGCCTATGATAACCAGAACTCTGCTTTCCTCTTCTTCTCATAGCTTCTTGTAACTTCTACATATCTACCATTTCCCAACAAGAATATACATTCACTGACAGCATATGCTACCTGCTTCTGTTCACCTTCCCCAGCAAGGCTCACCTTGCTCCAGGTATATACTAGGGCTTCAGTGACCAGCTTAGGAATTCGTGAGTACTAAGGCCAAAGCCTATTCACCCAGTGGCCACCACACACTCCACTAGGAGGAGGGAGGGTGGTGGGGAGCAGGATTTAGTCTCCATGGGAACACAGGATGTCCTTCTCCAAAAAACAGTTGAATGAGTGGGGTTGGAGAAATCTGCCTAGCTCACCCATCCCCTAGCTCTCAGATCAACCCCAGGCACATATATGAGCCCTCAGCAGCCCCACACCTAGCTGCGTTTGCTTGGACTGGGGAAGGGAGTTGTCACTAAACCTTTATTGGGTCAACAAGACTCCTTCCTGGGAATTAACTTGGCCATGGAGCCTGGCAAATAGAGAGAAACTGAAGCCTGTCTTGGGACCCTAAACCTTCCCCCATTGTGGTTCCAGCTTTTCCTGAAGCCCAGCCATATCCCTACCCCTGGATTCCAGGAACTACCCCTGCACCTTTAGGAGAATCCCACCAACAGCTTCAGGGAGCCCCTGAGGATTTCTGCCTTCTCCCAGCCATACTCCTCAGTAACAATGTGAGGTTCTGAAGTAGGCTGAGCACCATGGCCATATTCTGTGCATTTACCTGGGACACCATTTCCAAGATCTTTCTATCTATGGAGCTTACTAAGTAGCAGGAACTCAACCCGAGCCTGAGAATGAATGAATGAATGCTACTGTTTCTATAGGAAGATATGTTCCAACAGGCAAAACCTCCAAAGTGAAATAGCGGAGTCCATCCTGCTAAAGCCTGTAAGACCTCAGCTGCCCTGCTCCTCCTTCCCCTTCCGGAGATGAAGCTGTTGCGCAGTCTTGCCCAGAAGGCTCCCAAGGCCAAGAGCACCCTTTTCACTTATCTGGCTTCAGCCATTGGGTTAGGGGGAGCTTTTGTTTCTCCTTCCTGAAGACGGAGAACCAGAGCCATGGCACTACCATCATCCCTTCCTGAAGACGTCCAGGCCCTGGGCAGAGCTGTGGTGGGACCCATAAGGACAAGGCAGGTCACAGGAATTCCTCACTTACTTGTCACCTGGGACTGTCGGTCCCAGTTTACAGAGTAAGAAACTGAGTCAAAGAGGGGACATTAAATAACTCATCCAGGGTCACAGGGTAGAACAGGGCAGAGCTGGAACTCACACCTAGTGTGCCTCTGGCCTTGGGGCTGGGTGCTCTGTTCTACGGCCCCCTGCTGAGGTGACCGAGTTGGGAGAAGAGCTGGGCAGGGCTTACCCGCTCCTCCCCGGGAGGACTGACAGGGAAGGCACTTCATGCAGTGTCAGGGTGACACAATGACCCTCTGTGGGCCACATCTCAGATGGGCTCTTTGTGCCTCCCAATGCCTGATTGTGCATTTGGCCATAGACTGTGCAAGGAACAGAGAGAAACTGCACTGACTAGGGGCAGAGAAGAATGGCAGCACTGTTCCCTGTTCCCGTCTGCCTGTCCCATTGGGCCTGGGGAGGGCAGCAGCCACACTCTTGGGCCACAGGAGCTGAGGGTGTCTTTTTCCTCTGGGGCAGGGAGGGGCATGATGGGAAGGATCCCAGAAGGGAGAGGAGAGAGTAGGAGGGCCTTTTCTGGAAGGCAGCCAGCCAGTCCACCCAGGCTGGGGAGTTCCTAGAACAACCCACCCTGCATGGTGGCTCTAATTTACAGCTGGGGTCCAGGCCCCAACTGGCAGGAAGACACCAGCTGGAACTTGTGACCTGCCCGTCCCCAGGCAGGGATGGCTCTGGGTAGGGGCCAAGGCCAGCATCCTCACACGTTGCATTCAGATGACAGCAGCTGGTCCTGTCCCTGGGCTATTCCTGCCGGCTTCTGTCTTTCTCAGGGTGGAGGTTTTAAGCCCTGGGCACGTTACCCCAAGGCAAAATGTTTCAGCAGACAGAGGAGAAAGGGGAAGACACAGAGTAGCTGTTCTAGACTTTTCCAGGCGTCCTACAACCCCACCGAGAGGGGCAAATGCTCAAACACCTGAGCACACACCCAGCTGTGAACGCACAAGGGCCCTCACCCTTCTAAGGGTGCTGCAGGGCCCCGACCTGGGACTTGGGAGGGGCGAGGAGCAGCCTGGACACAATGGAAGCTCCTGTTGAGTAACCAGGCGTCACAGAGGGCTCTGGGGGTTACAGGCCCAGCCTGGTGAGGCCCAGGCTCTGGTGGTGAGTGGAGCGAGACCATGGGCTGGTCCCTGGACTCTGTGATGACGGGGGGCATCCCCAGGCTGCCTCCCTCGCACCTCTTGCCCCCGCTGGGACACACCCGGCAGCACCCAAGGCCAGAAGAGGGACGTGCCCATCCCCCCCCCACCCCACCCACTTCTGCCGGGGCTTTTCGGCCAGCGTGCTCCCGCCATCTAGTGGCAGGTCCGTGCTCCTCACCTGGAAGAGCCATCGGAGCAGGGCCACTGGGCAGTCGGGGGTGTGCAAGTAGAGGTTGCTCAGGAGGCCCATGTGCAGGAAGGAGAGCTGCTGGGCGGGCGGGCAGCTGCAGAGGCAGAGGAGTAAGGTCAAGGTAGGTGGGAGGCCCTCCATGCAGGCGGCCTGGCAGCCTTTCCTCAACACGCCTGTCTGAGGAAGCCACGGGGGGTGGGGGGTGTGGGGGTCCCATATTGTATCCTCACCGGACCCAGAATCACGGCAGCAACTGCTAGGGACACAAACGCTTCGAGCTCCGATGCCAGGAGCTGTCAGAAGGAAAAACCACCCACACCCATGCCATCACCGGAGTCATTTGATCTCGCTGAACAGGGCTCAGTGTTTGAAGCACACGACGGGAAGAGACGTTTTGTCCTTTTCCCTGTGGGGGAGGGGGAAAGGAAGGTATTTACTGAAGTTGCAGAAAGGACCCCTGTGGAGGTGAGGAGGGAGCCCAGGAGTCACGGCCCTTAGCCCAGGGCCCTGGGTGGCCCCCGGGGAAGGCAGAATTACCAGCGGGGCCCACGCGGGGCCCACGTGGGGCTGGCGTCTGAGCTCTGGTTACACAGAGCATTTCTGCCCCATCTTGTGTTTTTCCGAAACAAAGGACACCTGAGAAGATGGGAAAATAACAAAAAGGGGCCCAAGACAGAGCCATTCGGGGAAGGAAAGAACAAACAAGGGTGCCATGGAGGGTTCTTCAGAAACCACGGGAGGTGCAGAGTCAAGAGGAGATGGTGGCACTAAGACTCGCCTCCCACCTGTGCTCCTACCCTGCGCTTTCCTTCACCGCAGGACCCTGCTGGGCCTCTCCCTGCTCCCGTGAGCTCCCAGACTCAAAAGGCCAGTGTGGAGAGGAGCCTAGCTTTGAGTACTCTTGCCACCCCACAGACTGTCTGGGCAGAAAGGAGTCCACAGCCCTGTAAAAGGAGCTGAAGTATTTCATGTGGTCATAGGGCCTTTGGCGGAAGGTGTTTCAGAAGTCACTTCAGAAGGGCTGGCTGGACTGCGTCACCCTTCCTGGTGACCCCCAGGGAGGCTGGGTTTGGGGCAGGCCTCTTCTCCTCTGCTCTCTTGTTCTACATGATGTCTCTAAGGCAATGAATAGGGATTCTAGGAAATGAAAAAACGAATTTCAGGTCTGTCCTCCTTTTTTTCATGGCCAAATCCACGCAAAGAACATTTCAGACAGCATTTAAAGTCATGACTCTAGATAGAAATTTCTTCGGTTGGCCCAGCCTCTTCTTCTCCTTTTTAAAAAGGACACATTTTAATCTGCCAGGAACAAAATGCTCCAAAACAAAGATTCTCCTCTGAGCCAAGTTGCTGTCTCCTTGAGTATGTCCAGGCAATTTACAAATTGTATATTTTTTTTCCAAATTATTTAAGTTCAGAGGAGAAAGCGGCTTTGTTCCTAGGTCTGTGAAGCTGACCACTCTCAAACAGACCTTTATTTGTACATACGAACACGTGTGCACCCCAGGGCTGCTGGCATGTTCTGCTCTAATTCACGGGCTCTGTCACACGGACACTTTCAGGGGCCGACCCTGCAATGCATGCACGGTTCAAGCCCTGCACCCCGAGTGCAGACAACACTCCAGCAGACAATGCCTAGAAGACCTCACAGATTGGCAGGCCTTGGCTGGAGGCCACGTGGCAAGGAGGCTGGTGCCCCAGGGACTCTAAGGAGACTCTGGCTCCGGCATTCTGCTCAGGGGGGCACCCCTCTAGTTTCTCAGTAGGAGAACTGATTGTACAAGCCCCTGTTGGCTCGGATCAACACATTTCCAACTGCTGCTCTGAGGGAGAGATACCCTTCGGTTTGCAATGTCTCCTTTGGGCTATGCCAGCCTCGCAGCACAGTTTCTGCCAGAGAAAAGATCAGTCTGCCTTCAAGTTCACCGCTGCCCAGTGAGGGTTAGCCGGTAAGGCAAGGAGCAAGAGATAGGCAGAAGGGCAGCCCAGCTGTGCCTTGAAGCAAATGGCTTTCAAGGAATTCTGAGCCTAGAGCTCCATGAGATGCAAGGAATCTGCAGGCTGCTGGACCCCAAGCCCAGTGTGCACGCTCCAGGAGGGGAATGCTTCTTCGCCTCAGTGGAACCACAAGCCTTCTCCCCTTCGGTGCAAGGGACAAGGCTGACTGCAGCCACTGTCCTGATCTATGGCGGGAGGGGAAGCCTGGAGGAAAAGGGTTGGCAAAGTAGGAGTGTGTACTGAAAACTCAAAACCCTTGGGTTACAGAATCACTTGTTAAGTTTGCAAAAACCCACGGCATGTCCACAAGCCAAGAATGGTGACTCTGCCTTTTGCAAAGCCAATGCTAAGTCCGCAGTCATCCTGAGAATGTCAGAGGACCCCGGAGTGAGAAGGGGAGGGATGGGGCCTCCTGGGTAGCAGATGCCATGCAGGCCTGGCTGGATGAGAAGTTCCAGCTGTCAGCCCTGAGGATCCCAGCAAGACAGGTTCCCATCTGGGATGAGAGACAGCCACAGTCAAGAATACTGCTAGCCCCCAGATCCCGTGGCAAAGACAGAGGTCTGCAGGAGCTGAAGGAAATAAGAGGGGGATGGTGGAAATTGAGATGGGGATTAGCCCCAAAGGGGAATCGAACAAAACACAGGTCAGCTTGGGTCAGCAGGTTGGGCTCCTGGGCCGAGCTGGGACCTTCTACCTGGACCGTATGTTCCTGATAATGCCCAAGTCAATATTCCTCTAGGCTCTCTATCTTCATATATTTTCTGGGCAACGGTCCTGGAGGGCAAAGGATCCAAATGCCTTGGGAATCCCAAGCGATGGCAGAGGGGTAAGCACCAAGTGTAGTTATTTATACAGTATCAGTTTCTGTGTCTTTGCCAAGTTCCTCAAGAGCAAGTTTAAGTAAAATGCCTAAGGAGAACAGAATGGAATAATGGTCAGAGTTTCCATCCCCATTCCTCCTCTTTTTCTCTCTTTCTTTTAAAGATGAGTGAGCACCCTTCGGGTCAGAAGTCCAGGGATCCCAGCAATGCCCCAGCAGGGTGCTTCTGCTGGCTCTTTATTTTTGGGGGGCAGTTGGACCAGCTGGGCGCTCTGGTCCATCCACACTCTGTAACTGATGGATTTGTGCCAGTGAGACAGAGAAACAGAAGGGACCCCATGAGAAAAAAAAAAAAAAAAGCTGTTTTTTTCTTTTGCTTCTTATCCTGTTTCTGTTCTAGCTAGAACCTGCACCCCTTACCTCACTTTACACATTCCTGGTAATGTCAATAGGCTACGTCTTCCTTGTAAGGGACAAGGAATCAATGATTCTCTAGAATAACACCTAAGGAAGGACCAGGTGAGAGGGATGAGAGGAAGCCATCACATGCATGTATCAGACCACTGATGAGACATCTGGACGCCAAGACCCCCTGATTCCAAGGAGTAACCCCCAGGCTCTCATCTTTGGATATCTGAGGGGACATACACATCAGACCACCATCCTCAGTAAAAACCTCAGACCCCCAAAGACGAGGCTCCTGCTCTTTTCCTTTCCCACTCGTCCGGACGCTGTCTGTGTCTCTCTGTACACATCTTCACCAATTCTGCTTTTGCCTTCTGCTAGCTCATGTTTGATTTCTTTCCCGCATGAAGGCAGAGACCGTTTGATTGGCCCCACGGGAACCCCCCACTCCCCCCACCTCCCAGGTCCTCAGACCTGCCTGCCAGCAACACAAGGAAGAGGAAGAGGTCCTGGCAAAACAGAAGCTGGGAGCTGGCCTCAGGGAGACCCAGTGTACAAGCACACAGACACACACGCAGCTCAGTGCCACCCGCCTCCTCCTGCCAAGACGTTTCCTGGAGGAAGGGCTCCCTGAGCATACATAAGGAGCACCTCACTGGAACAGTGAGGTGGACACCCCCCCACCCCGCTCCAGCGTGCTCTGTGGGGGCCCAGGGAAGACCATGAATCATTCAGCGAGCAATGTCCACCCTTCCTGGGGAGACGGCTCTGGCCTCAGAGCTGCATGTGGGCATAGGTCCCAACACTTCTCCACTCAGGGGAATCGGATTTCCTTTTGAATGGCTGTCAAGGGAGGAAAAAGTTCAGCCCCTGATACCAACTTCTGTCGTAAAGGCACGTGACTTTGGTTCCAGGGATCTGACCAGAGGTCACACATCCAGCTGGGTGATGAATGTGAGCAGACCAGCCAGGCCATCTCCGATGCCGGGGCTCCGGGCTCCAGGAGATGCTTCTTACATGGAAATCTATGTAGGTGCTGCCTGGTGAGGACGAGGCCTCCCACAGCTGCCCTGTGCCCCGCCGTGCCAAGAGTGCCCACTTTGTACACTGGGAAGATGATACCCCTCTTCACAGATGGGTAAGGAGGCATGGATCTCTTTCAAGAGGTGGTTTTTAAAACTCGCATTCACTTTTCCCCCCGTAAACTTCTTCTTTTTTTTTTTTTTTTTTAAGATTTTATTTATTTATTTGACAGAGAGAGATCACAAGTAGGCAGAGAGGCAGGCAGAGAGAGAGAGGAGGAAGCAGGTTCCCTGCTGAGCAGAGAGCCCGATTCGGGGCTCGATCCCAGGACCCTGAGATCATGACCTGAGCCGAAGGCAGAGGCTTTAATCCACTGAGCCACCCAGGCGCCCCCCACAAAACTTCTAATGGTAAAAATGAGATGTGTTCATAAAATACAGAATATAATAAGGAAAATAAAAGTTACCTGTAACCTCCAAGTGTTAACTTTTTGCACAGCAAAACACTGAACCATACTACCTCTTGAGAGATCAAGTAACTTTTTATTTTCCCTTCATTTTCATGCTTCCGGCTGAATACAACGGGGTAATTATTGAACCACAATTTTCCTCTCTTGTGTCTGGGTTTGTGGTCCTTGGCATAAACAGGAAATAAGAGTGACCCCAAGGCTAAGTGGTGACCTTCAGGAAGTGGCCCTTACCCACTGCGTAGCAGGGGCCCTCTGACCGGACCATGTGGAAGGCGGTGGGCATTCCTCCAGAAAGGCCCTGGGCTCCCAGGGCTGGCCAGGCCGCCTCTCCAGTGCCTCATTAGCATACTTGAGGGAGGAGGGTCTGAATTCCTCACTCTGGGGAAGCTGGCCAGCCACCTGGCCCCATTTGGCAGGGCTGCTCAGTCTCCGGGTCACTGCCGCATGGGCCCTCTTGTCTGTCAAACACTTCCTGCCGGCCGTCCAGTCTGGGACAGGAAACCTGCTGTCACACAGACCGTGGCCCGCCGAGGCAGCAAGGCAGCACTCTCTCCTCTCTCCTGTTCCTTCCCCGCCCCTCCTCTCTCTTTAGTGCTGCTATCCTTCTTTTCCCTTCAACCCTTCTTGCTTCTTTTTCCCCCTTTCATCGTCCCTTTATGAGACACCTTCTCAGCGTGGTGGCGTCAGCCTTTACCAATATGCAGATGCTCAGGTCCAGTCACCTTGTGTTGCTTCTGGGGCTATGCTCCAGACACAGCTCTGGGTATGAAGATGCTCTCTACCACAACGTTTATAAAGGAAGAAGGTCGGAAGTAACATATATGCTGAGGAGAATGGCTAAAGTGCTGAGGCCTCGTGCTAGGCAATATTCTCTCAGCATTCATGTCATGACCAATGGCGACATTAGGGCCTTGTTGAGCTCTTCATTGCACAACATATAAGACACCTTTAGAAGATGGCTGAGGAAAGCTGAACACCGACTGATATCAGTGGTCTGAAGGATTTGGATTTTTTAGGTGTAATAATGGCATTTAACTTCTATCTAAAGATAGAACCCTATCTTTTAGAGACACACAGTGAAGTACTTATAGATTCAATTATATGTGCCTGGGATTTGCTTAAAAATAATCCTGAGGGGATAATGTTAGTGGGCGGGGGTAGAGATGGAAGAGGATCGCCTTAGAGTTGATTGCCGAAGCTGAGTGATGACTGATGGGGAATCATTACACTAGTCTATGTATACTTGAAACTTCCCATGACAATCAGATGGCTTTAGAATTAGTAAAACAGACATAAGGAAACCCTGAACAGCTGGAAAAGATAAGACTCCTGCTTTCAAGAGACCACGGATAGCTCAGCCTCTGGGCTCCCTACCGTCTGGTGTGGGCCTGGCGGCCTCCTCCCCATCCCCCTTGGCCACCAAGGCCCAGCAGGGTTTGGCCTCAGAAGCACAAATAGATAGCTGCCCCGAGTCCTGCAGGCTTTCTCTCTTGTTCTTAGATAGATGAACTCCCAACTGCAAGTGTTGGATGTGGCTGTGGTCAAGTTTTTAAAATCCCCTTAAAAAGCAACAGAACCCATGGCTGTGTGATAACGAACGTAAATTTCCTTCCATGGAGGAATGTGACAGGGCAGCTGTCCTAATGTTACAGTGTGCACTTGGGGCTGGGGACGAACTTTTCACTGCTAGCATCACACATGGACAGAAGAAGGGTGTGGTCTCCAATGAGCAGCTGGAAATGACGATGATGTGTGCTGGAAAACTGCTGGATGGCCCAGAAAGTGGCTCCAGTGTCAGCAGAGACATCACCCCAGAGGCATGTATGGTGAGTCTGACTAGAGTTCTATGCTCCCAGGGTGCAGGGGAGGAAAAGGCGCTATGAATACATAAATACACAAGCGACCCAATATTTGCTATGTAGGGCTTTTTAAAGTACGTGCATCTAAATCGGTAAATTAAATATGGTAAGTCGACATGTGGGATTATTTCATCTATAATCCTGAAAACTGACATGTCCCTCCTGACTCAAGCACAGCCTTGAGTTTCCTCACTGGGGCCAGCCCTTATCCTTGGGCTCCAGAAAGGACAGGGCCTGGCCATCCCATGCCAACATTTACCTGAGGAACCATTCTTCCAGGTGGCTCCGTGGCTTGAGCTGTGAACGGTCCAGGATGCAGGGCAGGGGCTGATGCCTGGGTAGAAACACCGTCTCCCCGGGGTGCACCAGCGGGATGACCTGAGGCGACACGGAGAACCTCTCCACCAGCATCCTGGCAAAGCAAGGAGCCGGAGAGGCAAGAGTCAGCAGCTGCACCTGGTCTGCAGCCCAGAAGGAAGCCAGGGAAAGCCAGATGGTGCCCCCTGCCTTAGTGACCATCGCCTGGTCGGGAGAAGACTGGGGAGGACAGCACCACCTGCTGGTAAAGGAGGAGCCTGCAAGATGCTGACTCGAGCTCTTCCCCATCCCACTCTCAGTCCTGCATCCCAGCCCCTTCCTCTGGGCTTTTTTAGTCCAGGAGCCAGAAGTCCTGCTCCCAGACCCAGTGCCGCCCATTCCCTTTGTTCAGCTCAAACTTTCACTGGGCACCCACGATACGTGGGTGCCAGGTGCTGAAGGATGAGTCAGGCGTGGGCAGCCATCGCATGCCTAGGGGAAGGGTAAACAAATCACCACAATAGCCTTCAGCAAGTGGGCGGACCACAAAACTGCCTACACAGGCATGGCCAGACGGAGGAGCGGTGGAGGAGAGAAGCTTCGGGTGTGGCCCGGGTCAGGGAGGGCATCAGCACAAGGAAGGAGCCGGGATGCTTCTTCTGGGGGACCAGTCTGTGAGCTCTTGAGATCACGAGGACTCCCCAGGGATCTCCGGATGCCCAGGCCTTGCCCTGCCTTGTGTATCTGATCAGTAGATCAGAGCTGGGTCCCACGGACAGGGAAGGAACAGAGAGAAGAAGGGATACATTCCAACTCTACTGGGAGGGGTAAAAATTGTCAGGAGGGAGTAGGGAAAAGGGAGGCATTTAAGACAGTTCCTAAAAACACAGCAAATCTCTGCTTCATGAAGGACTGGCCACAGTGCCGTGGTGGGTGAAAACAGCAAGTTTCAGAATAGGAAGTGTGTACGTGTGTTTGCGTGTGTGTGGTGTAGGTATACACACAGACATAGGCACATACACATTCTTAGACACGGGCAACACCCCCCACATAACTGACATGGCCAGCTATGAGCTTGAGTTATCCCTAGGGAATAGGATTTGGGGGGAGCAGGGAGGAGACTTTTCCTGCTTACTTCATACAACTGTGTTCTGCTTGATTCAATAGAAACAGAACACACCTTTGACAACAATAAAAACAGCCAAATGAAATAAGCCGCAAGTATGGTATCCCCTCCTGTCCCCAGCCTGGGCCCTGGGATGGTGGACTCGGATGGGGAACCATGCTCAGGGCTTCTGTTGGGGTCTGGGACACAAGACCTCTGCAGGCTGAGCTGTGTAGCTGGCAGCCTACCACTGGCTGGATGAAATCTGCCTCCCTCTGGCCCCCGACCTGAGGAAAGAAGCCAATGTTCATTACTGGCTCACATCACCAGCTTATTTGGAGGGTGAAATGGCGCAGGGTGTGGAAACGCCATGAAAACACAGGGGACTTCTGCTCCTGTAGGCTTTTGCAAGCAACTTGTGTGAACCACCACACAAACAGGAGAACAGTTTTCTGTTTCGTTCCTCTCTTTGCCATTTCAGCTTTTGGGACTCTATGGCTTCTGTTGCTCTTATAGTAAGGAAGAATTGCAAATTATTAAAAGTCTACAGGAATTGGGCTCATCGATAAGAGGGTCTTAGTCTGGTCCCCGAAACCATCATACAAAGGGACTTTTGTGACACTAAATATAATATATATGCATTATTAAGAGTTCTGAGATGACTCTTCCATATCTAATTGGGGATTTCCTGTGCAGCCCTGAAGTGAGGATAAAGGATGATGTGAGGGCTGAAATATTCCCCCCTCCCCTGCCCCAGTGCACACATAAGGTCTTTTAACTTTAAGAAATAGAGAACGTAGGATGGCATCCACTCAAGACGCAAGTCAATCCTTAGAGCGTGAGGGGACGCTGGGCTCTGGGTGCTTGGGGGTCTCTTCTACGGTGGGCATCCACAGCGGGCATGTGACTCCTTGTCACGAACAACTGCTCTGGCAGATGGTGGCTGGCCCCAGCCGCAGCCTCACCCTTTCCAGACCCACATCCTCTGTAGGATGGCTGTTCCAATCTGAACACTCACAGAGGTTCACAGTGGAAAGTATCAGTGAGGAGGCCGGGGTCCTCCTAACCAAGGCCGGGGGTCACCAAACTACAGTCTGCAGCCAAGTCCTGCCCATTACTGTGAACAAGGTTTTATTGCAACATAAGCATATTTATTCCCTTGTATATTGTCTACGGGAGCTTCCCTGTCACAACAGCAGAGCTGAGAGGTTGTTGCCACAGAGATTGGACGGCCCTCAAAGCCTAAAATATTTACTGTTTACAAATACAGAGAGTTGCTGATCCCTGATTGAGTCCAGAGATGATTATCAGAAAAACTTGGGGGAAAAAAGCAAACGGCCAGCCATGGTGATGTTCACAACCATCTCTGTGCAACAAAAACAACGTAAACCCTCTGGGGGTCCTAAGATGGAGGCTCCAAAGAAGTCTGTAGGTTGTGACTCTACATTTCCTTCATTAGAAGAATGCTAACTTAAGAATGTGCACGAAAACATGACCTGTCATTGCTTAGACCAATGTTTAATAACCTAACTCAAGCTGACAGGAAAAAAAATTGAAACTTGGACAGGCCGATGATTCAGGGCAAGCTGACCGACTTCCCCTAAGCCGCATGGCTGAGGTGACCTCATCCCCCGCAGGAACCCCCAACCAGCGCACTTGGTTCCTGAGGGAGGGAGGGAAGCAAGCAAGGGAGGACCCAGTTAAAAGAGAGAAAAGGGAGATATACAGAAAGATCTAACCTGACTCCAATTCCCCCTTCAGCTACCACACATTTTTCTCTTTTGACCTCTCCTCCTGTTCTCCTATGGGCCTGTTCCAGTCAGGACCACCCTCAGTGATCCACCAGAGCTGCTCTTGTCAAGGTCACCATGACATCTACTTTGCCTCCTTGGGCCCCTGTTCTCGCTATATACTTGCTTCCCAGGTGATCTAATCCAGTTCATGGCTTCAAACGTCACCTATGGGGCGCCTGGGTGGCTCAGTGGGTTAAAGCCTCTGCCTTCGGCTCAGGTCGTGATCCCGGAGCCCTGGGATCGAGCCCTGCGTTGGGCTCTCTGCTCAGCAGGGAGCCTGCTTCCCTTCCTCTCTCTCTCTCTGTCTGCCTCTCTGCCTACTTGTGATCTCTCTCTCTGTGTCAAATAAATAAATAAAATCTTTAAAACAAAACAAAACAAAACAAAACAAAAAAACGTCACCTATATGTGGTGACTCCTGAGCCTCTCTCTCCGGAAGAGGTGATCCAGACTGTCTATTTGGTCTTGCCCCTGGGATCCCCCAAATGAACTCTTGACCTCACAAGTGCCCCCAGTGCAGCCTTTGTCCCTTAGTCTTCTCTAGTTTAATTAGACAACTCCAACCTTCCAGTTGCTCAGGCCCAAATCCTGGGGGGTCTCTTTGATTCCCCTTTCTCCCATACCTTCCATCCAGTTCATCAACAAATCCTGTCAGTTCTACCCTAAAATTATATCCAGACTGTGCCTACTCCTCACCACCCACCACCCTCTTACTTCTCAGGATGACTACCATGGCTCATTTGCCCCTGTCTCCTTTCTTCTGCTCTGCCCCAGGCTCCCCAGTTTATCCTCAACTGGCAGCATAGGATCCTGTGGAGCAGTGGCGGTCAGCTCACACGGAGGAAGAGCTCCTGCATCGAGCCCACTCTTGGCTTCCCTGACCTTCTCTCCCCAGCCCTCCCTTCCACAGCTGCCGCTATGCTCCCCCATGGGGTCCCAGAGCTGCCTCTCACCTCCTTTACAGTGTCTTGCTAGAAGTCAGCCACCTGCTCATCAAGGTCTTCCCTGACCCTCATGGATAGTCTCATAGGTCTTCCGTACTCCTCCTGTCCCCCCTCCACTTTATCCTTTCTCCTGAACACTCCTCACCTCTCTTCATGCAGGAGGATAGAGCTTTCTGTCTGGTTTTGTTTTTGCCGTATCCCCAGAGTCTGTAACAGAGCCTGGTACAAAGTTGGAATCAGTAGATGTCTGCTGGCTGGCCAGCTGAATAGACGGATGGCTAACAGGGTACCCTGATGATGGATTCAGCTGTGGCTCCTCAGCATCTCTGAGACACTACAGGGCAGATGAGACCGCCTGCCTCCAGCCAGTGGCCCAGTTAGATCATGGCTGGCATATACCTCCCCACCCACCCAATGACAGCACTGATAAAAGCCATCATCTTCTTTTCCCCAGATGGGGGAAAATGAAAAATGTCACATAGTCATATTCTCCCCTTTAAGGGCAGATTCATCTTAGACTGTGGTTTTGTAGATTTATTCCCCCAAGAGACCCGGTTCTATAAATTTGGATGGAAAATTGGGGCCAAGTAGGCTGTGTTTTCCTATCTCTGCGCCCTCAAAGGCCCACACTGGACCTTGATACACAGTAGGTGATCCAATATTTCTGTAACCGAAGAATACATGTAGGGCTTTTCTTGAGTGTCAGTTTAAGAAAAGGAGGCAGCGTGAGAACTTACAAAGACATACAAATTGCTGGCTGAAACTCTGTCTGAAAACCAGAGCCTGTCAACACTTCAATCCTTTGCCTTGAGAGGCAGGTGCAGGGACTCCCCTCCGCCCCCAAAAGTGGCCAGGCCCTAGCCCCTCCCATGCCCATACCCCACCTGTGCTCAGGTGTGAGAGGCACTTCATCTTCATCCCGATCCAGGAAGCTGAGTTGGGGACGGTCATGTAGAAGCAGCTGCTCTCGTTCCTGCTCCAGGGCCTGGTCCCTGCAGGGAGCGGAGAGCCAACAACTGAGGTCAGTGCTGTCCCCAGTCAAGTGACCTGGACACTGAGCTGCAGACCCCATGAACATGGCAAGGCCTAGGAATCGGGATTTTCACCACACAACTTCAAACCTCCCTTTGTGTACCTTGTTTAGTATTTGCTCACTTTTTAACACATCAAGGTCTGTGCCTAGCCCCTTCTCTTCCTCCCAGGGTCTGGCCACACTGACCTGGGGAGGCCCCCAGGCTCATGGCTCCTAGAGTCCCTCACACATGGCCTGCCTTTCCAGCCGTACCCTTTGGTCTCCAGCCCCAGAGGCCAGTCCCCACCACAGCCCTGCATGCCAGCCATCATCTTGCAGGAATCCTGACTCCCTCACCTCCCTCTTGCCCTAACTACATCAAACCCCTGAGCAGGCAGAGTCCAACCTTCTGCCTTCTGGATCCTTGGCCTCTCAACAGCCTGAGAGCCTCCCTAGCCCTTGCCCTGCCCCTCCAAGGGCCTGCCTTGGTGTTGCCCCAAAAGTCCTCAGTTCCTAAAGATTTCACCTCCAGCCCAGGTCACTGTCTACAGCTGGAATCTTCCTCGCCAGTGACAAATGAATGATTTCAGCTGAATGTGCCTGGGCATCTCCGAAGCCACACGTATAGGTCTGAATTCTCTTCCACACAGGCTCCAGAGTCCCAGCCACCGAGGTCAGCAGACTCATCATAGCCCCACTGCCCTTGTCCTAGGGCCCCACTCCATCACCGTTCACCATACTTCTTCTCTCCTCCCTCCCATCCATTCTCCATAATGTGGCCTAAGCGATCTCTGCAACACAATGGGAAACACAACACTACCCACTTAAAATTCTCCCAACTTGACCCTGTATTCATGAGGCCTCTCGTGACCCAGCCCCAGTTCGCATCTTGGCTGCACTGCCTGCTCTGCCGGCCCCCAACCCCCAGGCCCCAGCACTGGGAATTCCAGCTCTAGTCAGCCACCGGAACACCTGTCCTACCCACCTTCACATGTGTTGTCACCCATGCTGTCCCCCCACCCCGCAAATCTTCTAATTCTCCCAGTTTCAAAGATAAGGATACCTGTGGGGAGCCCTTTCTGACCCCCAGGTTAAACTAGGTGCCAGTATTCTAGGCCCCTCCATAGCAACCTCACAGCACGGGAAATACTAGAAACATTAGGATAAATGTCCAGGTGAGTGGGGCTGCACCGTCTCCTCCAAATACCCAGTGCCTGGTGTGGGACCCAGCAGAATAAGAATCTCCCAGTGCTGGGTGCCCTGATGAGTTTACCTGCCTGCATCACCGGCATGGTGATACTCAGGCTGTACTACTTGGTCAAAGGCACATGCCTTTTCCCCTTCTCTCTCATGGAACACTTGAACCAGGAGCCGAGAGGCCCCACATGGGCATGAATTGGGCAGAAGAGAGGAAGGGACTCCCCCTGTCTCCCCTCCACACCAACCCAAGGTTCACGACCCCCTTGTCTGGGGTTCTCTGCCCCCTTCAACCTGACTACCATTCCATGTGCTTACTATTGATCAGAGAACACAGGGCACTCTGCGCTCCCGGAGACACGCTGTGCAAGAGGGTGGTAGGCTGCTCAATCCTGAGGGGAAGGCGCTAGGAGTCTTAGAGGACAATCCCCTGAAACCAATGCCCACCCCACAGAATGCAGACCCCACGAATGACCTCCTCCCACACTCACCGCTTCTCCTGCAGTAAGTAGTCTAAGCTATTGATGTAGCTCTCTGAGGCCCCAGAGGTGAACTGGAGCAGTGGAACATGAGAATAGCGGACAGAAAGACAGACAAGGGGGGGGGAGAATAAAATTAATCTCAATTAAGCCCTTTATTTATCTTGTTTATGTGTCTGAATAAGCAATATCTTTACATGATTAAAAATTCGAGAAGCATAAAGGCATGCAGTAAGATGTCTCCCATCACCAGCATCCCCAGCCACCCAGGTTCCTTTTCACAGGTGACCACTGGTGTTCACTTCTCTTTGTGCTTTTGGAGACATTTTATCCACAGACAAACAGTAATACAACACAGATTTCCCCCTACCCATAAAGCATATGGTAGCAAACTATGAACCCTATTCTACCCTTTGCTCTGCTCAATTAATAGAATGTCTTCAGGGTCATTCCATATCAATACTAAAGAAGTAAGTTAAAAAAAAACTTTCGGGGTACTCTAATGTAGGACTAGGACATAATGTATTAATTCCCTAGTGGTGGGCATTTGGATTATTGCCAATCTTGGGCTATTTGAAATATTTAAGACCAGGGACACCTGGGTGGCTCAGTCGGTTAAATGTCTGCCTTTGGCTCAGGTCATGATCCCAGGGTCCTGGGATTCAGTTGGGCTCCTTGCTCAGTGGGGAGCCGGCTTCTCCCTCCACCTGCTGCACCCCCTGCTTGTGCTCTCTCTCTCTCTGACAAATAAATAAGGTCTTAAAAAAAAAGGCTTCCCACAAGAAGGAATAACCTCTATTTAAAAAGAAAAAAATAAGCAAAACAAATAATTAAGTCCTATTCTTAAAATAAATTTCCTGGATCTGTGGGCCCCTAATTGTTCCCAGTCTACCTAGCAAGAGCTGTTTATTCCCACCCAAGTTAAAGTTCATCATTAAAGTTTCCATTTAGACATTCCAATCCACTGTACCCGAGTCAGCCTGAGTCTTTGTGCCTGGTCTAGCTTAGACCGGGGCACCAAGGTCCCCCTTCCCCCAGGGGGATATCCTCAACCTTAGGCACAAAAGTCTTGATGCCATACAAAAGTGGCATCAAATTTGGCACCACCCCAAGCCAACTGTTAGCAGAGGTTAGCAGCAGAAATATGGAGAGAGATGCACCCCAGCCACAAGGGTCCAAGGGCTGGGGAGAGGTCGAGAGGGTATGCAGTTGATGAGGGATAGTTAGAGGGAGCTGGCCAATGAAAGGAAGCTGGGGTATGGCCAAGGAAGAATGGCCAAAAAGGGAGTGGCGGGGGTGACTGAGGAGGAGTGGCAAGGAAAGGAGATCAAGGGGAGTCCACCAGCTTACCAAGGTGTGGGTGTCCATCACTTCAGCCTTTTGGCTCGGGCCTGCCATGTTCCAGAATGGCTCCTCCAGTGAGGCCAGATTCCCCTGGGGGTCCGAGTCCTGGGGCTCCTGCTCTAACTTGTCAGGCAGCTGGTGGGCCCATGTCCTCAGGCCGTGAGGCCCCACTGCATCAACCCACCTCGGGCCTGGGGTTCCCCTGCCTGCTGGTGGTACCCTCAGGTTCAGGAACTCTACAGGTGGCGGGCTCCAGTCAATGGGGAACATGTCCCTGGCCGCATGCACCTTGGGCTTCTTTGACACCTTAGGCGTTAGAGCTGAGGTAGGACTGCTGCAGCGCCGGGTGGCATGGAGAAGCCTCTGGTGCAGGGGATGGTCGAAGCAGCTGCCCTTCAGGGTGGGCAATAGGATGGGCATCCCTTCAGCTTCCTGGCCCCCTATGAATAAGATGGAGTACTGTGGTATCCCCACTTACCCACCACCATCCTGGCCACTGTGCCATGCTGGGTGAGGAGAGTAGGCAACTCAGGATTGATGTGGGCAGAATGTGAGCGGAATCCCTCAACCATGGGTTGTCCACTCCCTCATGGCCACAAGCTTCAGAATGGCTCTATCTGTACATGTGAGAGACACCTACCTTCGTCCTGAGGAAGGGCTGGCGGAGTCTCCTCAGGCCCGGCCATCTGCAAACCACTGGACTTCCTGTCCTAGAAGGAACTGTCAGGTGAGGTGAGCTTCCAGAAGGAAGCTAAAGGCTCGGAAGCTCTAGGTTCCCTACAGAAGAGTGCCTGTGCCCACTGGTGCCCAGGATGAAAATCCCCCTCCAACTCTACCCTAATGACCAAGCACATGCATCATGAAGATCAAGTTGCTGGGGTGAAAGGGGCTCCAAGTGACCTTTCATTTCAAGGATGTGATAGGCAAGTGTATGGACATCAACTTTTTTTATTTTTTTAAGATTTTATTTATTTATTTGACAGAGAGAGAGATCACAAGCAGGCAGAGAGAGAGAAGGGGAAGCAGGCTCCCTGCCAAGCAGAGAGCCCGATGCGGGACTCAATCCCAGGACCCTGAGATCATGACCTGAGCCGAAGGCAGTGGTCTAACCCACTGAGCCACCCAGGTGCCCTGGACATCAACTTAAAAAAAAAAACTTTTAGAGGGGTGCCTGGGTGGCTCAGTGGGTTAAGCCTCTGCCTTCGGCTCAGGTCATGATCTCAGGGTCCTGGAATCGAGCCCCGCGTCGGGCTCTCTGCTCAGCAGGGAGCCTGCTTCCCTCCTCTCTCTGTCTACTTGTGATCTCTCTCTCTCTCTGTCAAATAAATAAATAAAATCTTCGGGGAAAAAAATTAAAAAAAAACAAAAACTTTTAGAAAAGCAAACTAGCACAGCTCAACAGAAAAGTTGTGTTGAGATGACATTCTGCATGTCTTGCTTACTCAGTGTCACCCCAAGAAAGAATGTTTGCTCACGAGGGGTAGGGCAGGGCTCTCTAGTCCTTGTCATTTTCCCAGAATCAGCACAGACACGGCACACAGTAGGACTTGGTGCATTTCTGTTGAATGAGTGAATGATTTAAAGATACCCAGGGCTGGCCCAACAAGCTTTCTCCTTAGGAACTGTCCGTCTACAGCTAAGGAACAGAGAAATACACAGACATCGCTCATCATTTCAGGCTCAGGATTAGATGAACTGAAATGTACACGAAAGGCTAATATCTGAATGATATTAGGAAACAACCAATTACCAAAAACACTAACCCAACAAGGGTTTGGACCCAACAAAAGTGGAAGACATTCAAATCAATATGCCTATGATATGTTCTTTGATCACAATGAAATCATTCAAAATTTAAAAATTTATAATAAATGCTGACAAGGCTGTGAGGAAATACATTGCTGCTGGTACTCTAAAATGGTCTTATTCTTTTTAGAGAGCACTCTATCAGTATAAAAATAACTGCAAAAATGTTCATACCTGGGGGTAGGGAATCCCAGAAACCTGTCCCTCCACAAAAGCAGTAATTAAGCTGACAAAACCTGTCAGAACTACCACTTCGAGAATTCTGGAATTTAGCAAGAAAGTAACAACAAGCAGGGAAAGGCTTAATGAAGAAAGAAGTTACTAAATTTCAGGAAAACGGTATTCTGGATTTTGAACTTAGACGGTGTACATCCCCCACCCCCCAGTTAAGAGGCAGCTGTGGAGGCTGTGTTCCTGGTTTGGCTTCCTGGGGCCAGAGGGGGCAACACAAACTTTGTTCTCAGAGAACTGTGGTTGTATGTTTTGACCTGTATCCTGGCTCCCTGAGGGGTCAGCTCAGATCTTACCTCTGTTTTTTCTCACTTGGAACTTTCCCAGGGCCGAAGTGGCCTCCTGGGCAGCCTTTGTTGAAAGCACTGAAAGGCAAGTCTACCAGCCACAACCACCTGGGGCAAGGGATAACGGGTGAGGCAAGCAGCAGGGAGTCTGAAGGGCCTGTAAAGGAAGAGGCTGAGGAAGGAGATACACAGAGGAAAAAAGATTTTAAAAAGCTCCCACATAAACTAGAGTTCAGAAGGTCCCCATGTACACCCAGGGCTAAGGCATGCTTAGGAAAAGACCTGAGAAGACAGTAAGTTTTAACCTCTGGCTGATCATTAGACTCCACATAAACCAGAAGTCAAGGATGGCCAAGGCGGAGTTGCATTAAGGTCTGTCTAAGCTTTGATGGAGTACACCACAGAACCAATCTGCAAAGATCAGAAGAGTTTTATTGTGCTGATGGTGGTGACATTTAAGGAATTTTCTAACAACTTACCCGTTAACCACTAAGCTAAAGGAACAGTGATTTCAGTGATGTCATACAACAAAATGATAATGTCTTCATAAAAATAGTTTAGAAATGTCATTAAACAATCAACTACAACTCACAACAACCAGCAACAGCAAAGTCAGATGGGGGGAGGGTAATCCTACTGCATTATAATATCCAAAATGAACAATTTTCAACAAAAATTACAAGGCATGCAAAGAAACAACAAAGTCCCTTCATAGACAAAAAAAGAATGAAAGAAACTGTTCCTGAGGAAGCCCAGGCATTGGACTTATTATACTAGACAAAAACTAGACAAAAACTTTAAATCAACTGTCTCAGATATGCCTAAGAACCAAAGCAAATGGTGAATAAAGAACTGAAAAAAAAAAAAAAAAACAGAAGAGAATGAGGTCTCACCAAACAGAGACTATCAATGAAGATTTTAAAAGTTATAAAAAGGAGCCAGACAGAACTTCTGGACTTGAAAAGTACAAAAACTGAAATGAAAAACTAAGTAGAAGTCTTCAACACGAGATGCAGGTTAGCAGAAGAATCAGTGAACTTTTACAGAGGTTAACTGAGACGGTCAATTCTGAGGCACAGAATGAAAAAAGAATAAGATGAACAGAGCCTCAGAAACTAGTGGGACACCATTAAGCACATCAACATATGCATAGTAGGAGTTCCAGAAGTTGAGAGATGGAGATAGAGATGGTGGGGTGGAGGGGGACAGAAAGAACACTGCACTTCCAAGAAGCTCAGAAAACTCCCAAGTAGGTTAAACTGAAAGGGATCCACACCTAAATATATCACAATCCAACTGTTAAAAACCAATGAGAGAATCTTAAAAGTAGGGAGACAGAAGTGATTCATCACCTACAAGGGAGTTCTCAATAAGATCAACAGGTGATTTCTCACCAACCATGGAGATCAGCAGGCAGGGAGGTGAAATATTGAAAATGCACAAAGACTATGGACCAAGAAGTCTGTATCCAATAAAACTAACCTCCCAAAAAGGAGAAGATAAGGTATTCCCAGATAAACAAAGACTGGGAAAATTTGTTTCTAACAAATTTGTTCTGCTAGAAATACTAAACTAAATTCTTTAGGCTGAAGTGAAAGGATAGTAGAGAGTAACTTGAATCCATACAAAGCAAAAAGAACAGTGATAAAGGTAACTACCTGGGTATACATAAAAGATGGTATAAATGTGTGTTGTTTTTTTTTTTAAGGATAGCTATTTAAAAATATATATATATTTTATTTATTTATTTGACAGAGAGAGATCACGAGTAGGCAGAGAGGCAGGCCGGGGCAGGGGGAGCAGTTTCCCTACTGAGCTGAGAGCCCGATGCAGGGCTTGATCCCCAGACCCTGAGATCATGACCTGAGCTGAAGGCAGAGGCTTAACCCACTGAGGCACCCAGGCACCCCTAAATATTGTTTTTACTTATAACTCTTTTTCTCCTGATTTAAAAGACAACTGGATAAAGCAATAATTACAAGTCTATCTTGATGGGTGCACAACGTCTAAAGATATAATTCATATGACAACAACGGCACAAAGGACGGGGTGGGAATAGAACTATATAGGTATAAAGTTTTGTATCTTACTGAAATTAAATTGGTATTAATCTGAACTAGACTGTGAACTATGTAGTATTTATAGGTAAATAAAACAGGCAAGCACTACCATACTTTTGGTTTCTAACTCTTTTTTCCCTATGTGATTTAAAAGACAAATGCATAAAATGAAAATTATACATCTATGTTAATGAGAACACACAATTAATGTTCAAAGATGTAATTTGTGACAATAAAAACATAAAGGGGAGATGGAATTGTATAGGAGCAGAGTTTTTGTATACTACTGAAGCTAAATTGAAGCTAATTCAAACTAGTTTATTAAATTTAAAATTATAAATTATAATCTGCAGGATAACCACTAATAAAATAACTGGCAAATACACAGAAAAGGAAATGAAGAAGGAATAAAAATGGTATACAGTAGCCCAAAAAAACAAACAGAGGTGCCTGGGTGGCTCAGTGGGTTAAGCCTCTGCTTTCGGCTAGGGTTGTGATCCCAGGGTCCTGGGATTGAGCCTCAAATCCGGCTCTCTGCTCAGCAGGGGGCCTGCTTCCCCCTCCCCCTTTGCCTACTTGTGATCTGTCAAATAAATAAATGAAATATTAAAAAAAAAGAAATTACAATAGGACAAAGAAAACCATGATATATTGATGTAAGACTCATTCACCAAGAAGACATAATGATTATAAACATACATGCACATAAAAAGAGAGCTTCGGCAGGTGAAAGGTGAAACAGTTGAAGGGTGAAACAGTTATAAGCTGATAGTTGAAGAATTCATTATCCTACTTTCAATAATGTAAACAGACAGGCGATCAAAAGAAAACAGAAGACTTCTACAACACCATGAACCAACTAGACATAACAGGCATCTACAGAACCCTTCACTCTGTAACAGCAGTGTATACATTCTTTGCGAGTAACATGGAATTTTCTTCAGGATAGATCATATGTTAGGCTGCAAAACAAGTCTCAATAAGTTTAAGAAGATGGAAATCCTTTATAAGGGTACCTTTCCTGGTCACAATAGAAGCTAGACATTAAAAAAAAAAAAAAAGGAAAACTGGGAATTTCACGAATATGTAGAAATAAGACAACAAAATCTTAAACAACCAATAGATCAAGGAAGAAATCAAATCATAAGAGAAATTAAAAAATACTTAGAGGTAAGTGCAAACAAACAACATATCAAAATGTAAAGGATACAATGAAAGCAGTTCTCCCAGGAAAACTCATAGCTCCCAAATGTCCATCAACCACTGAGTGGATAAATAAAATGTGGTTGGGGCCCCTGGGTGGCTCAGTCGTTAAGTGTCTGCCTTAAGCTCAGGTCATGATCCCAGGGTCCTGGGATCGACCCCTGCATAGCTCCCACTCTCCCTGCTTGTGTTCCCTCTCTCACTGAGTCTCTCTCCATCAAATAAATAAATAAAATCTTTTAAAAAATGTGGTATAGCCATAAAATGGAGTATTATTGAGGCTATGTTAAAAAAGACATTAAACCAGTAACCTAATTTTACACTGCAAGGAAAAGAAAAAGCAAAGCAAACTCAAGGTCTGCAGAAGGAAGGAAATAATAAAGATCGGGGGGAGGGGGCGCCGGGGTGGCTCAGTGGGCCCTCAGTGGGAGCGCCTAGGTGGCTCTGCCTTTGGCTCAGGTCATGGTCTCAGGGTCCTAGGATGGAGCCCCGCATTGGGCTCTCTGCTCAGCACGGAGCCTGCTTCCCCCTTTCTCTCTGCCTGCCTCTCTGCCTACTTGTGATCTCTCTCTCTGTGTCAAATAAATAAATAAAATCTTAAAAAAAAATAAATAAAGGGCACCTGGGTGGCTCAGTGGGTTAAGCCACTGCCTTCGACTCAGGTCATGGTCTCAGGGTCCTGGGATTGAATCTCGCATAGGGCTCTCTGCTAGGCGGGGAGCCTGCATCCTCCTCTCTCTGCCTGCCTCTCTGTCTACTTGTGATCTCTCTCTGTCAAATAAAAAAATAAAATCTTTAAAAAAATAAATAAAGATCAGAAGGAAAACAAAAGAAGTAGAGAATAGAAAAAACAATAGAGATAGTCAACAAGCCAAAATTGGTTCTTTGAAAAGACCAACAAAGTTGACAAACCAAACTGGACTGACCAAGAAAGAGAGGAACTCATATTACTAAAATCAGAGATGAAAGTGCAGACATTACTATCAACCTTAGAAATAAAAATGATTAAAAGGGAGAATATGATGAATAGCTCTACACAAATTAGGCACCCTAGATGAAATGGACAAATAATATACTGAGGAATAAATGTAGCGAAGTTTAAACTTTAAAAATGACAACATTGTGGAAAGAAATTAAAGAAGACACAAATTAATGGAAAACATTTTGCATTTGTAGATTAGAAGGCTCAACATCACTAAGATGGTAAAACTCCCTGAAGTGGTCCACAAAATCAACGCATCCCTGTCAAAATCCCAAAGGCCTTTTTTTGAAAGAAATGGAAAAAGCGATCCCAAAATGCATATAAAATCACAGACGACCTTGAAACAATTTTGAAAAGGAAAAATAAAGTCGGGAGACTCAAACTTCCTGATTTCTAAACCTACTACAAACGCATAGTAATCAAAACAGGGTGGTTATTAGCATAAGGGTAGACATATCATATCTAGGTCATATATCAATAAACTAGAACTAGTTCATATCAGTGAACTAGAACTGAGATTCCAGAAATAAACACAAACATCTATGGTCAATTGATTTACAACAAAGATGACAAGATCATTTGATGGAGAAAGAAGAGTCCAACAAAAGGTACTAGGAGAACTGGACATCCACATGCAAAAGAAAGACACTAGATCCTTGTCTCACCTGACACCACACACAATAATTAACTCAAAATAAATGGATAACTGAGGGGCACCAGGGTGGCTCAGTTGGTTGAGTGTCCAACTCTTGGTTTTCAGCTCAGGTCATGATCTCAGGGTTGTGGGATCGAGC